ATTAAAGACAAAATACACTATCCATTGTTATAATATAAACGATAAATTCATTAGAATAAAGAAAATCAATTTCTATGAATCTATCAGTCGGTGCTAGTATGCGTGCACGGTTTGTACATACCACTGTCGTTAATGTATAGGCACATTTAATCCGAGTTTACAGCATTTTCACTTTTGTCATGTACAGAGACCTTTAAGGATTCCACTTCATTTACTTTATTGCTTAAAACAAATTTCTCACATTTCTTTAAAGGAAATATAACCAATTTATTGTTGTCACAGTGAGTTTAATTTGTAAGCTATTTAAAAAGTCAATAGGTAGAGTTGCCTGCATAAAATTCAGAGTGCATAAGTAGTTTAAAAAGAAAGGGAAGATAAATAAATAAATAATACTTTTAAATAAATAAATGAAATTTTCCGGAAATCTTTAAACGACTTAAATCGCAATACTATTCAAATTTATCTGGCTTGATGAAAATCGTCACTAGCACAAATTAACTCAAGGTAGCACAAGAACTGGTTCGTTGAGAATCGCCGAAACAACATATCAATTTTCCATGAGGGCCTGAACAAGGGACAATATAATTAAACATATTCAAAAGATTAAAATATATGTTTATACATTCATGAGATTAACAATTTATATACGTCGATGTGTGATGGAGTTTTGAAGCGGTTCACAGGTGTAGCCGACTTGATATTATCAGGAAGACCGTTCCAAATTAAACACGTTGTCGTTGTTGTGTTTTTGTTGTCTTTTTTGTTGTTGTTTTTTAAGAAAAGAAACACAGTAATTTTCAACGCTAGTTAGTTATTTTTCGTGCATTCTATCGATAAATCTAACATAAATATAAGAATGGTTTCGTGATGAAACTATACAAATCTTAACTTAAAACAAATGATAATATTCTCCATGCTTTGATAAATAGTTTCTGACATAAGTTGTCATTTTTTGTAACCATTCATGGAATGATTTTAGAAAAATGTTATAAAGCAAGTATCTGGGGAGCTTAATTACATTTTTTCTAACCGATTGTCATAAAACTAAATGTGAATTGACAAAGAATATCATGTTCTTTTTATCACAAAAATAACAAAATCTGTATATTTGCATGTATTGATAGACGCCAAATAAAAAAAGAATCAACCATATGCGAATATATTGTAACGAATATATGTTCTTTTTTTAACACAAAAATAACAAAATATGTGTATTTACTTACATACATTGACAGACACCAACATATTGATCAATCACACGGAAGAAAATGTGACCAAAAAATGTTGGCAATTTTCTTCCGTTATCGTAGACTACCTTCTTTAATTAAGTATAAAATTGGCCCTTTGATACACGTCTCAATAGTCCCCAAAATTTTCACATTAAATATTTGCTTTATGAACGTTATATACATTGTATTTAAAGGCACATTATGCCTACGAAACAAAGTTCTTAAAGAAAATAGCGATTAATGAGAAATAATATGTCATAAAAGTAGCAAAATGTAAAGACTTCCATACAAAATACCAAGCTAGCTGAATAGTTAAGAAAAGGATAATAATGATCGAAAGGATCAGCAACAGCAGCGGCGGCGACAACAAAACAATAGCAACAAAAACAAGCAAGTTATTTTGATCAATAGAGAACAATAAATTAGGCAACTTATCAATACTTTTATTTCTAACATACGTTAAAATATCTCAATGTTTATCTGTTGTTCCTTATGACTTTACAACTTATGTGTACAGTTATTTGTTTAATTTCGTTATAATTACATGTATTAACCATTGTTGTAGGTACATGTATATTGTATATCCTCTCAAGATACTTTTCTTTCGTTTCGCTATGAATCTTAAGCAAGAGGATATTTCAAAATTTTCGTTTGATTCCTCCTGTTTATATATTGTTTCTATGTTAAATAATTATTTACCTTATTTATATCATTCATCAATTCTGTGTTTATTCATTATCTGTTACATTAAGATTATACATCTATTCATATGTTTGTCAGTCATACATTAATGTACATGTAATGATCTATGTACTTTTTGTAAGAACTGTAAGAACTGTATTGTATATGTACTCTTCAAAACTGGAGGAAAATAAAAAATATATAAATATATATGTCTATTGAATCACACGTGAAGTACATGACACGCGGTATTCAGGTGATACAAAACATAATTAGGTCTTTGTATCTTCTATTAGCAAGACATTAAATGTGTTAATATATCTTAATATCTCATATAAACGCTTCTCAAAAATCAATATAACATGCCTGTTTTATTTCATGATGATAGAAGCCGAGTGCAAGATAATTCAATAAATAGTTGTACTGTAAAGTTGGTGGCCTACAATAATACAAACGTTTGTGATGCTTTTCGACAACAAAATCATAATAAATAAATAAATAAATAAATAAATAAATAAATAAAAATAACCTGCTGCCTTTACTAAACTTCCAATTGGCATTATTTTTAAATGGATGTCTTGTGAACAAGACGACTCTTTAATTCTCCTGAAATAGATAAACGAATATGATAAGTAGTATCTGTATTTTGCTATGAGCAAGACAGTCAATGTGGTAATGTTCTTTAATTTACATATAAACACTTCTCAAAAAATCAATATCAATTATGCCTGTTTATTCCATGATGTTATTAGCTGAGTGCAAAGTGATGAAATAAATAGTTGTAAATGATTAATAAGCGAGTTGTTTTGAAGTAGTCCTTGGTAAAATGATCAATATGAAAATATCTGAATAGAACAGGACAATGTTATACCACTTGCATGACATCAGATATTCCCTTTGACATATCCAAATGTTTATGTTTAAGAGAAATATGTGCTTAGTCTTTTTGTTTGATAACAAATTAAATAATTGCTCCTTATATCTGCAAATGGTGTATATTGCACGTGTGTAGCATTACAAACTCAATGAGCAAATATGCGAAAAACTAGTACAATTTTGATATTATTGTAATGAATGTAATTACACATAGATAAAATATAGCATTTCAACGCTTAGTGCCTTAAATAGCGTTAATTTACTCTATTTTGCCCATTCTCGTTCATGCTGTTATGTTTTCGTTCATAAAGTTCATTAATTTAATCAATTATTCAAATTAATTACAAATCAATTAATCAACAACACTTAAACAGACATTGTGATATAGACACATTACTAGTATATGATTAGAAATTTTTCATGTTTACAATTTCCATATTGTTTGAACTTTGCTGCGGCAGCTGATTTTACCCAAACGACCGGCTCTGACAAAGATCAGCTGGCCCATCCGTGCCGTTCGACCATGATCCTCACTGTTCGCCATTCAGTCAGGTTTTTTGTGTGTTTAATTTCTCTATAAAGGATGAATAGTTTTATCCAGTGGTTTTTAGGCTTTTGGAATTACCTGAACCAAACAGAAAGTCTAAGATTTCAAAACTTTCACTTATAATTACTGGTGTGCTTATAATTATATTATAATATTGTAAGCCACCAAGCTTACAAGCTGACTTTTAAGGGTTTTTAGCTAGTGTGAAAACTAATAATAAGAAACACCATTAACGTTTAAATAATCTCTTGTGTATTGATGGAGATAACAAATTCAAGTTTATATCATCAAATATAATAATAATTTATGTAAGAACTTATAATTTATCTACTAAGAGGTGCGGTTGTAACAGCAAAGGGGACCACCAGTTGCATAGTGTTGATGTTAAAATAGCTTGACTACGGGGTTGCTATGTAAACAAAACTCGGCATATGTAAACAAACGGAATTAATTCGGTTTATTGTAAATAAACGGGACTAAAACACTTAAAGGATTGTTGTTTTCTTTAAGGGATAACCTGTTTTGTTTGTAACTTACTGAATAAAATAGATTAAAAAGATGTTTCTTTGAAAATATTCCCCAGTGCCTTGGTTACTATGGAAGTTATTAGAAGCTTGCAACTGGTGCCATTTTCGGTTACAGCCGCCCTTATATAGCTGTCGGATGTTGGCAAACATAGCGTCAGCCAATCAGAACTTGCAAACATAAAAATGCGTAAACAGGTTCTACAATGTTTTCAAATAAATAAACATCATTCACTCGACATACATACAATAAAATACATGTTAAACATAACAAGACGTTCCTAAATAATGACTGATAATCATTAATTTATCACTATATCAAAATACTCTTGACATATATAGAAATTATAGTTGCCAACATTTGCCAACTTTCATACGCACTCGTGTAAGTGCCCTTAAAAGTTCCTTAGAATCAATCACTCTGAAATACAATATAACAATCATCCGTTGTAGTATTTCATATGTAATGCAAAAATATACGTTAACAATCAATTTCTAATTCAACTTGTAACACAAACTTAAGTATTAGCATATATATCAAGATGACAACAATATTCTTGCACCGTAGTAGAACAAGTCAATATGGCGGCCAAATTCGAGTGCAAAATGTTCCGTATGATTGTACACAAAGTAATGGATTTAAACAGATACAAAATAATTAACAATGTTCTAAACTGTGTTGTTTAAGTGTACAATGACATAATATAACTAATAATGGAAATAATATGGATTAAAATTCTGCAATAAGGTGAGCATTACTTGTACAATTCATGTTCGGACAATTCATGTTCGGACAAAGCATATGAATTGGATAACACATATTACATTTCCCCCACCTTAAAAACTAACTTCTCCTGAAGTTAAATAAAGTTACAATACATCATTTGTTCAAGTACATTCAAAACAATACTTGTCAAAATAACATCTCAGTTAATATCAGATTCAGACTTTATCAGCACCTTAAAAACATATTAAATTAGCATGACTAATAAAAGAACAAGTCAAATTTGCTCTGAAACACTCAAGTACATTTAAATGCATTCAAATAAAGACTTAGGTAATGCATATTTCATTTAAGAATCTTAATTCTTAATAAGTAAAAATAAAGTTAACATATAACAAACAGTGAGTACTTTATGAGTACTTTATCATACCTTATTACCTCAGCACATAATGCAATTAATTAAGTCCATACTTTAAGTTCACTCAAGTTAAGACTTAAACACTCAAGTATATATTAATAGTTAATAAACTACTTATATTTAAAGACTTTCATAATAACCAGTCAGACAATTCACATAAAGACTTATGCTTGATTTATATATTTCAAAAATGATTAATAATAATTATGTATCTATAATTGTTTTAAAGAAACACAGTACAACAATACCTGTTTATAATTAAGTTCTAACCTGACAATTATTTTGTGTGGAAAATTAAGAAATGTTGAAAAAGGATAAATTGTGAAAAATACTTCTATTGTAACATATTATTGGTTATTTAAATATTTACCTGTTTTATTACATTATTGCTTCACTACTAACTTACTAATTTATTTCTTGTTTTTAAGTCTTAAAGGTACATGATGGATCTTTGAGAGAATGTCTTTTAGTTCTTCGGATGGCTTGAAACTGTAGAGGATGCTGTGTTTTTCTTCGTCACTGGATTGGTCTTTTTCGATGGCAATGTTTGAAATAACGTGAAAGTTCAATATTCTGGATCTTCCTTTTAGATCGAGTTTGATACCGGTGGAACCAGGCAAGGATAAAAAGTTGTATTTATGGAGAAGTAAGGATCTGTCCATGACGGTTAATTTGTTGTTGTGGTGTTCTTCTAGTCTCATGGCGGCATATTCGGTAACAAGGCGTTTTTGGTCAGGTGTGAATGTTTTCCATTGATGTGGTGGCCACTGAAGATTAGATGTTAAATTTACGCTGCATTCAGGTACAGATGACCATTCTCTTTCTGCTGGTGGAAGAAGCGGCATGGATCCAGTTGTCAGGAGAGTCTTGGCTTTGTTGATAATTAATTCATTTTTAGGTGTTGGTATATATTCTGGTACTACAGGTGTATCAATGTTATTACTTTGTGGTTCATATGATGGTGTTGGAATGTGTTCGTATCTATTATCTGTTGGTGTTGCTCCAGCATTGTAGTAAGGACTGTTAAAAGGTTCATCTGGATCATTTATAGAAACTGGTGTTGGAGATCTTAAATCATTGTAATCAAGTTCATCATTGTCCACATCTGGATCATTAACTGAAGAGATGATTTCATCATTTATGTTAGAGGTTTTAGATACTTCTGTTGAATTTACATTAACAGCTGGACTGTGTACATTTTCATTGTTGTTTAAGTTGTTGTTGTTGTTGTTTACATCTGATTTTACAGTGTCTTCCTTGTTAGTGTTATTGATGTTATCACCTTTTGCTGATGGTTGAGAAGATTCAGGATTATGGTTGATATTGCTGACAGATGCAGGACGTGAAATTTTAAAGTTCTCAGCAGGTTGTGTAAGGCAGGATAGGATCTGGTCAAAGTTTACACCAAGAATCCTGGCACATGAATCTTTGATTTGTTGACTTGTCACGATTTTCCAGTTACCAGTAGGAGGATTGAACGGTTTAGATAGAGTCGAAATTCTTCTCATCAAAGAGTCCATGGTCTTCTTAGATTGGATAACGTTAGGTAGAAGTTTAACCATGATTACATTTTCATTGTCTTCAAGAAGATATGCCTTGACATCAGACGAAATAATTATACTTTTGAGATCAATGGATGGTTCGTGACATCTTTTTTTCATATGTATAGTTGGAGAAGGCAATGTAGACAATTCATGACTGTTGTGAGTTTCAGTTGAAGTAGATGTAGGCAGACTTTGATGAATAGAAGAAGAAAGTTGACATGTAGACTTTGGAGCACTTACTGGCTTGAAAGCAGAAAATTCACGTTCACTGGATATTGTTGAACTTCTACATGATGAATCAGACTTGGCTAATTTCCAACCATTCAACCATTCAGAAACACCAGGAATGCGACCAGTGGACCATTTTGTGACCATCTCTTGAAGAAACTTTGCCTCAACGCTGTTATAATCTGATGCGCCATACAATTCAATATACGTTTTCGAATCCTTACATAGGTAGAAGCAGTTGGTTGTTGATAAGGCTCTTGGTGGCAATTCTTTAAACTGGACAGGGTGCTGACTTTTCACATGCCTTCTTAGGACCTGTACATATTTATAACAACGTTCATTCTGGTAAACACACCATGGGCAGATCAGACGGAATGACTTATGGTTGGTACGTAAGTAGTGGTTTTGGAGTTCCCTCCTTGTAAGAAAAGATGCTGGGCACGTCTCGCAAAAGAACTTTGATTTCATGACTGAAACGAGAAAAGCATAACTCATGTAGGAAGGATAGCTGGTAATTTTCTTTAATTTCAGCATTTCACTCAAATCGATGTTTATTTAATGAAGCGATGTAATTTCAATCAGAATGGTTACAATCATAAAAATGTAGGGTAGGTCATTTTTCTTAAGTTCTAGTATCAACACTATGCTACTGGATTGCTGTTATCTTGTTCATGTTTTCGCATACATTCGGTAAAATCACAAAATGTAGATAAACAATGTCTTTCACATTGCAGAAACGCTTTCTGCTATCATCGTAAGTATATCGCAAGTGGGTGATCAATCCGCTTTCAATACTTTATTTGAGGCCTCCATTTTAATTTAAGACAATTTTACTACTGTGAAATCACCTGCTTTATTACCAATAAAGCCTCACTACCATTATTGCATGCTTTTCTTAAACAATGGACAAGAATCTAGCATTGTTGTTTCTTAAAGATGACTTTCTTCATTAAAATGTAACTATAAATTGCTATCAAATTTTGTTAAGTTGATGTGTTCAGAAAACATTATACATTTAAATTATCAGGTATAATGGTATGTTACTGTGTTGCTCATTAACTATTTGCAGGATTGGCATCAGGTTTGTTGGTGAGGTAGGTAGAAAACCACTTTGGTATGTTGTTGCTCTTGTACTTGACTAGCCTGTCAATGTGTACAGCTTTAGCAGGTAGGTTTATGGACTTTTTAACAAGATAAACCAAATCATCAACTTTCTTTGTAATCAGAAATGGACCTTTCCAGGTAGGTGAAAGCTTTTTACAAACTCCAAGACGACGAGATGTGTCATGTAACCAGACTGGATCTCCGACAGAAAGTGAACGACTCTTTGCTGTTAAGTCATAGTGACGTTTACGGTATGAAATTTTAGTTTTCAAAAACCTCTCGGGGCCTGTTCATGTATGAGTTCTAGTTGGTCTTTAAGATCAAGAATGTAGTCAGAGGTAGGTTTGTTAGGTTCATTTGAAATGTTGGACTGAGGGGGCAGGCCTATGCATGCTTGTAATGGCAGTATAATATCTCTTCCAAATACCATTTTATTAGGTGTGGAACAAGTAGACGCATTTACAGAAGAACGGTATGCCATCATGACCTGAGGAAGAAACTTATCCCAGAGGCGTTGATTTGAATTGCAGTACATACTTAACATTGAGGCGAGCGTTCGGTTAAATCGTTCCACAGTTCCATTGGATTGCGGGTGTAGGGCTGTTGATCTAGTGTGATAAATCTGTAGAAGATCACACATGTCAGTAAATAACTTAGAGACGAAGTTGCTGCCTTGGTCAGAATGTATTTGAAGGGGGACACCAAAACGAGAGACAAACTCATTTACAATTGCTTTGGCAATTGTTTCTGCTTCCTGGTTAGGAATCGCAATTGCCTCGGTCCACCTTGTAAAGCAATCACAAATGACAAGAACGTAAATATTTCCAGACTCGGTCTTTGGCAAGGGACCGAAAATGTCGACAGCTACACGTTCAAATGGTTGAGAAGCATTTATTCTACCTAAAGGAGATCTAGTAGGTTTGGGCGGTTTACGAGATGCACAGCTATGACATTTTGCACAAAACTTTTCAATTGTATCTTTCATGCCAGGCCAGTAGAAATCTTGACGGATCTTTGCAAGAGTTTTATCAAAACCCAAGTGAGCAGATGATGGGATGTTATGCATATAGTGAAACACATCAGACTGTTTTTCTTTAGGTACAACTAATTGCATATGAGAATTATTTTCATCATCAAACCAGTTTTTGAACAGAACTCCATTTTCAAGAGAGAGACGATTCCACATGCGCCAAAGTGTTTTAGTTACTGACGAAGAATGACTAATTTCTTGCCATGAAGGTTTATCATTTGACTGATCGAGATGAAGCATGATTATGTTAAGATCTGGATCTTTTAGCTGTAAAGTGCGTAATTCAGATGGTGACCATTGTGACAGTATAATTTGTGTTGATAAGAAAGGAGAGTTGTTATCAGAGTTACTACGAGTAATTGCTCTAGTCATTTCAGATTGAGATGCATTGATGATATCTTGTTTGTCAGATGTGTTGCTTGTTATGCTATTGTTCAGACTATTCAAAGTTAAATTGTTGTTTTTATTTGAGCAGTTGTTGTCGCTAACTTCATCTAGATTTCCATTTTGTTGTTTCGAACATTTTGAACAGGGCGCACGAGAAAGAGCATCAGCGTTTCTATGTTGAATACCGGGGCGATGTGTAACATTAAGGTTATATGTACCTAACAGTTCTAACCAACGCGCTACTTGTCCGGTTGGCTGTTTAAGGTTCTTCATCCAGCTCACTGCGGCATTGTCGGTTCTCAAAAGCACTGGTTGACCATATAAATAGTGATGAAATGATTTCAAAGCATGTACGACAGCAAGCAATTCTTTTCGTGTAACGCAATAACTTTGTTCGTGCTTGTTTAAAGTCTTGCTTAAGTAAGCTATTACAGTTTCCTTACCATTTTGAGTCTGCGAAAGAACAGCGCCTGTCGATTTGTCGCTTGCATCCGTATCTAATATGAATTGTTTATTTGGGATCGGATACCAAGGATAGGTGCAGAGATTAATGCTGATTTCAAGGTTTGAAACGCAATTTCGCATTCAGGTGTCCATTCAAATTTTGTCGCTTTATCGGTCAACCGGTTTAAAGGACGGGCAATTTTTGCAAAGCCATCGACAAAGCGGCGATAATAAGAACATAAACCCAGAAAACTTTTTACCTCGCGAGCATTACGAGGAGTGTTCCATTCTTTAACAGCTGAAATTTTGCAAGGGTCAGTTGAAATTCCATTTTCAGATACAACATGACCTAAAAATTTGACCTCTTTTTGGAAAAGAACACATTTCGAAGGTTTAAGTTTCAGATTAGCTTCTTGTAACCTTTGAAGTATATGGTCTAACCGTTCTAGACCTTGGTCAACTGTTGCACATGGTATGATGATGTCATCCATGTACAAAAGACATTCTTCCCATTGTAACCCTCTTAAAACATTTTCCATTAATCGCTCAAATGTAGAAGGCGAGTTGGCTAGTCCGAAGCTCATAACAGTAAATTGATAAAGACCCATAGTAGTTGCAAAAGCTGTTTTTTCTTTGTCTTCAGGTTTCATCGCGACTTGCCAAAAACCGCTATTTAAATCTAATGAACTAAAGTAACGAGCGCCTGATAAGGAGTCAATACAGTCATCGACACGCGGTAAGGGGTAAGCGTCTTTGACAGTCAGATCATTCAATTTTCTGTAGTCGACACAGAAACGTGGAGTACCATCTTTTTTCGTAACTAAAACAACTGGCGATGCCCATGCGCTATTTGACGGTTCAATAATACCGCGTTTTAACATTTCATTTACTTCAGTTCTTTCTATTTCACGATTGCCTAATGGAAGCCTTCGCGGTGGTTGACGTACAGGTACTGCGTCTCTTGTATTGATAGAGTGCTGTACATAATCAGTTCTACCAATATCATCAGAAGATCTAGAAAATGTGTTCCGATACTTAAACAAAAGTTTAACAAGACCTTGCTTTTCAGTATTATTCAAATTAACAGAACTTCTATCATAAAGATTTTGGAGATGCTCAGGTATTGTAGGTTCTTGTAAAAGTTCATTAACATGCGCAATTCTTGCTGAAGCAACAGTTTCACATTCATAGTATGACTCACAAAACCCAACATTCATGTTTTTGTATAATGTTGCTGCATTGCTGCCATAATTGATAACATTGACAACAGGATTTCCTTTGGTATTAATGATACCACTCATAACAAGGATTTCATTTTTAGCCATGACAGATGTAGCTGGTTCAATAAAACCATTTTCAGACAGATGATCAGCTTGAGGTATTTTGACAGGAACCCACATTCTTGACTGAGGGGGGACTTTAATAGTTTCTTTCATTTCAACTCTACAAACTTGTAGTGCTTTTCCTCCAGTAAATAGAGGAACAATATTTTCACCCATTTGAAGACAAGACCTTTTGTAGTTAATACACTCAACATGTTGCTTCAGAAAGTCTTGACCTAGGATACCCTCAGTATCCATACTACAAACAATAAATGTAATATCATAATGCTGGTCACCTAGTTTTAGTAGAAGATCAACAGAACCAGACACTGACATTGGTTCACCATTGACAGTATGCAGTGTACTTGAAACAGGTAATATCTTAAACAATTGACCAGTTGGATCAATTTCATGAAGCTTTTTCTGTGAAATCAAAGAAGAAGTAGCTCCACAGTCAATAAGAAAATCTACAGAAACATTATTTAATTTACAAGTTGTGTAGAAACCATTATCATATTGGTTAAAATTAGAACCAATTCTAACAGAGGAAAAATTTTGATTTGTAGAATTATTAATAATTGGCCCATTTAACTTAATTGTATCAATTGCTGACTCTTGGCCATCAGAGCCAGCTTTTTCTAGTTTCCCTGATTGGCTGAAAGCTGAGAAGATGAATTCTGCATATCTTTTGAAGTATTTTGCACTTGGTTTTGGTTATTGCCAAGATACTGAAACCTTTGGTCATATGATGGAGTGCGCCTTTCATTTTGCAATGCAATGTTGTTCACATTTCGATTAACTCTTGCATTCTTGGGACAAGATCTCCACAAGTGATTTGGTGAATTGCAACCAAAACAGTTGTGATTATTTTTCTCATGATGCACTTTATTTTTGTTATCATACTTTTTCTCTAGCCTATCTACTTTATTTTCAAGGCGTTTGATTACAGTTATTAGATCTTCTGATGATTTGTTGGTTGGCATTGATTCAAGTGCCCGAACAGTACCACTTTGCGAGCCTAAAATGCATTCATATTTTTCAACCACAGAGACTGCCTCTGTTACTGTTGAACAATTATTGTCTACGCATCGACATTTCATATCAGTTGATAACGAGCGATAAAACTGGTTTAAAGCTAATTTTTCTTGAGCCCTACAATCGAGATCAGAATAGGCTTTTTGCGAAAGTTGAATCAGGTCATCACCAAGAGTCGCTATACTTTCACCTCTTTGTCGCTTTCTATTTTCAAGCTTATTTAACCAAAGAGCTTGATGCTTTAGATGTCCGAAACGGTCACGCAATCTAGAAACAAGCAACTGGTAGTCGCGGCGTACCTCGGCGGAAAGGGTCATATAATATGTTCTTGCTGAACCACGTAAACTTGCTGATAGTGTTAGGACTCTGGTTCGATAATCCCAACGTGCAAGCTCTGAGCAATCTTCAAAGTGTGATAAATACTGTTCAAAACTTTTAGATCCATCATAAGAATCTGGCTTAATTGATTGTGTGACTGATGATGGTTGGGTCATATAAGATGGAAAATGATCACCACAGTTATTTGAAGTGTTCACTATATTATGTTGATTCATTCTCAGTGTTTGTGAAGAGTGTGTATGATCATTATTTTTATGTGAAGCTGATGTGTCTCTTTCATTTTCATAAGTATTTAGCTCATGAGTAGATGAAGTGCTTGATATGCTTTCATTGTCAAACTGATTTTCTTCATTATGTGGATTATCAGGTTGATGATGTTGGTAGTCATTTTGTGCATCAAAAGAAATATCAGGATCAGGAGATGCCATTATGTAATTTATGTGTTGAACTTCTTTAATCGGTGCTGGCAAAGAATAGACTTTTAAAAAAATGCAGGCTAAGGTTCGATGTTGATGTATAACTTAAATATAATCAACAGTTCTGACACCAATTTGTAAGCCACCAAGCTTACAAGCTGACTTTTAAGGGTTTTTAGCTAGTGTGAAAACTAATAATAAGAAACACCATTAACGTTTAAATAATCTCTTGTGTATTGATGGAGATAACAAATTCAAGTTTATATCATCAAATATAATAATAATTTATGTAAGAACTTATAATTTATCTACTAAGAGGTGCGGTTGTAACAGCAAAGGGGACCACCAGTTGCATAGTGTTGATGTTAAATAGCTTGACTACGGGGTTGCTATGTAAACAAAACTCGGCATATGTAAACAAACGGAATTAATTCGGTTTATTGTAAATAAACGGGACTAAAACACTTAAAGGATTGTTGTTTTCTTAAGGGATAACCTGTTTTGTTTGTAACTTACTGAATAAAATAGATTAAAAAGATGTTTCTTTGAAAATATTCCCCAGTGCCTTGGTTACTATGGAAGTTATTAGAAGCTTGCAACTGGTGCCATTTTCGGTTACAGCCGCCCTTATATAGCTGTCGGATGTTGGCAAACATAGCGTCAGCCAATCAGAACTTGCAAACATAAAAATGCGTAAACAGGTTCTACAATGTTTTCAAATAAATAAACATCATTCACTCGACATACATACAATAAAATACATGTTAAACATAACAAGACGTTCCTAAATAATGACTGATAATCATTAATTTATCAATATATCAAAAATACTCTTGACATATAGAAATAATAGTTGCCAACATTTGCCAACTTTCTTTCGCACAAGTGCCCTAAATAGTTCCTTAGAATCAATCACTCTCAAATACAATATAACGATCATCAATTGTAGTATTTCACATGTAATGCTAAAATATACGTTAACAATCAATTTTTAATTCAACTTGTAACACAAACTTGAGTAGTAGCATATATATCAAGATGACAACAATATTCTTACACCGTAGTAGAACAAGTCAAAATGGTCGCCAAATTCAAGTGCAGAACGTACTGTATGATTGTACATACAGTTATGGATTACAACAGATGCAAAATGATTTACAAGGCTCTAAAATGTGTTGTATAAGTGTACAATAACATATTTTAACTAATAATGAAAATAATACGGATTAAAATTCTGCAATAAGGTGAGCATTACTTGTACAATTCATGTTCGGACAATTCATGTTCGGACAAAGCATATGAATTGGATAACACATATTACATTATAGTATATATTTTATGATATTTGGAAGATATAGATATATCTGAAAACAGTTTATCTAATGTCCAACAGATATCATGAAGACTAGTGTTATACTATCAATATTTTTTGTTGCCGCCTTTATTTTCTTGTCTTCTGAGTAGAAAACAATAATTGAACACGTCGTCTTGAGTTTCCCACTTGATCGACAATAAGTATCGTTAGAACTAAAAAAGATTCTATTATGCATTAGATGCAGCAATTTATCTAGCCGTTGTCACTTTTAGGCAAAATTTGTAGATGCTTTGACCACTTATCTGCGTATTGTGTGAATTATTATATGTAAATTATGAAAGTATCCCATAAGAAACAGGTTTATATGTCTATATCTTCTAATAGACTGGCTTTTCGGGAATGAGTCTAACAGAGTACGGGTACATATCTGTTGAAATAAGAATATAATGAAAATATAATGATAGTCGACTTGCGCAAATGTTTCACTAGCAAAAAAAGAAGTTGATAATGAACTGTTTTAGAACTAGAATTTAGGCGTTTAAGACCCATTTAGGTGTGTCTGGCCCCTAAATAGCTCAAAAGTAAGTTGATCTAAAGCGAAGAAAATATCAGTAGTGATGTGTCTGTGATTTAGAAAAGAGGCTGCCAAAAACAAGAAAAAACAAAACAAAAAAAAAACAATTTTACTGTAACAAAACTATATATCGCAACAACAAAGTAAGTTTGGCTAAAGCGAAGAAAATATCATTAATGATGTAACTGTGCTTTAGAAAATAGAATGTCATTAAACAATTTTACTGTAACAAAGTTATATAAAACAACAACAATGTAAGTTTGACTAAAGCCAAGAAAATATCATTGAAAATGTAACTGTGATTTAGATAATAGAAACGATAAATTCATTAGAATATTCTATGAATCTCTCAGTCAGTGCACGGTTTGTACACACCACTGTCGTTAATGAACAGGCACATTTAATCCGAGTCTACAACATTTTTCACTTGTGCCATGTTGAGCAACCTTTAAGGATTGCACTTCATTTACTTTATTGCTTAAAACAAATTTCTCACATTTATTTAAAGGAAATATAACCAATTTATTTTTCTCATAGTGAGTTTAATTTACATTGTTTAAGCTATTTTAAAAGTCAATAGGTAAAGTTGCCTGCATAAAATCGAGAATGCATAAGTAGCTTAAAAAAGAAAGGGCAAATAAATAAATAAATAAATAAATAAATAAATAATTCTTTTAAATAAATAAATGAAAATTTCCGGATTTCTTCGTGATGAAACTATACAAATCTTAACTTTAAACGAGTGATTATATTCACCATGCTTTGATATATACATGCATAAATAGTTTCTGACATAAGTTGTCATTTTGTGTAATCATTTATGGAATGATTTTAGAAAAATGTTATAAAGCAAGTATCTTTGAGCTAAGTTACATTTTTTCAAAGCGATTGTCATTAAAGTAAACTCGCTGTCACAACAATAAATTGGTTATATTTCTTTTAAATAAATGTGAGAAATTTGTATTAAGCAACATTATATAGGGTAAAAAGAAACTTGCTTATTAATGTGTTCACAAGAGATTTGTCCATTATGTATTTTCGTAATCAACTTTGCCTTCAGTGTTTCTTGTCAGTTTTGTCTCTTGTGGTATATACCGATGGTTTGATACAAAGAATATGTATTTCTCTTTAGTCTGATGTAAGAGGTATGTAGTTTAACGTTAAATTCAATCATAACGTGTAAATATAACTTTTCAGTTCGATAAGATACAAAAATATTTAAGTCATATTGTAAAAAAACTTAAGTTTGTCAATAGAAAACTACTTATCTTATCTAGTGCTCGAATTTATCTAATTGAAGCCGAAATAATTGTCATACACTATTCATAGTTATAAACGACAAATTCATTAGAATTAAGAATATCAATGTCTATGAATCTTTCAGTCGGTGCTAGTGTGCGTGCACGGTTTGTACATACCACTATCATTAATGAACAGGCACATTTAATCCGAGTCTACAACATTTTCAATTGTGTCGAGTTGAGCGACCTCTACTTCATTTACTCTCTTTATTAGCACATCATCTGAAAGAAGACTAGAAGACTATGAGTTTGCTTTTAAGTCATTCCAGAAGATAGCAATTGTCATATTAGCCTGTCAGAATGTCTTGGTTGAGGAACATATAAGTTCAAAAGCAGAACATGGGGTTTGCAAGGTGGAAAGTCTAACATTCCAAAATATAACAATTGTAAGTTTAGTCTGTCAGGATTGCTTGGTTGAGGAACATATAAGTTCAAAAGCAGAACATTATGTTTGCAAGGAGGAAAGTCTGACATTCAAAAATATGGTAATTGTCAGTTTTACATGTAAGGATTGCTTGGTTGAGGGACATTCAATTTAAAAAAGGTACATGAAGTTTGCCAAGAAGATAGTTCATCAAAGAGCTAAGGTTTTCCTTTTGATTACCAGGATGGATGATATACATATATATGAGAATAATTTATCTAATGTCCAAAAGATATCATGAAGACTAGTGTTATACTATCGATATTTTTGTTGTTGCCTCTTTTGTTTTCTTGTCTTCTGAGAAGAAAACAATAATTGATGTATTATTCTTATTTGTTTTATGTACAGTGCTAATGGAAGTAGCTGGACACGTCGTCTTGAGTTTCCCAATTGATTGAAAATAAGTATCGTTAGAGCCGGCAATGCAACAATTTATCTAGCCGTTGTCACTTTTAGACAAAAAATTGTAGATTCTTTGCCCAGTTATCTAGACAAAAAATTGTAGATGCTTTGCCCAGTAATCTGTGTATTGTGTGAATTATTATCTGTAAATTATGAACGTATCCCATAAGGAAAGGTTTATATGTCTATAATTGTCTTCTAATGAAAAGGTACACTGGCTTTTCGGGAATAAATCTGTCCGGGTTCATATCTGTTGAAATAAGAATATAAGAAAATATAACGATAGTCGAATTGCACAAATGTTTCACTTGATAATGAACCGTTTTAGAACTAGAATTTAGGCGTTTAAAGCCCGTTTAGGTTTGTCTGGCCCCTAAATAGCTCAAAAGGAGAAGCAGATTTGTTATCGAGTGGTAGCTGGTTCTATCTAGCTCCTTGCGAAATTTCTTTGATCCCAATGGTCAGTTGTCTCTGGCTGCTGTTGCTGAAATCATGTGAGATTTGACAAAGAATGTCATTAAGTTTCACTGTAGCAAAACTATATATAGCTACAACAAAGTAAGTTCGGTTAAAGCCAAAAAAATATCATTAACTATGTAATGTTGGTTTGAAAAAGAATGCAATAAAACAATTTCACTGCAACAAAACTATAATACCGTATATAGCAACAACAAAGTAAGTTTGGTTAAAGCCAAGAAAATATCATTAACTATGTAATGTTGGTTTGAAAAAGAATGCAATAAAACAATTTAGCTGTAACAAAACTGTATATAGCAACAACGGAGTAAGTTTGTCTAAAGCGAAGAAAATATCATTAATGATGTAACTGTGCTTTAGAAAATAGAATGTCATTAAACAATTTTACTGTAACAAAGCTATATAAAACAACAACAATGTAAGTTTGACTAAAGCCAAGAAAATATCATTGAAAATGTAACTGTGATTTAGTAAATAGAAACGATAAATTCATTAGAATAAAGAAAATCAATTTCTGTGAATCTTTCATTCGGTGCTAGTGTGCGTGCACGGTTTGTACATACCACTGTCATTAATGAACAGGCACATTTAATCCGAGTCTACAACATTTTCACTTGCGCCATGTTCAGCGACCTTTAAGGAATCCACTTCATTTACTTTATTGCTTAAAACAAATTTCTCACATTTATTTAAAGGAAATATAACCAACTTATTGTTGTCACAGTGAGTTTAATTTACATTGTTTAAGCTATTTAAAAAGTGATTTAGAAAACAGAATGTCATTAAACAATTTTACTGTAACAATACAATATATTACAACAACACAGTAAGTTTGGCTAAAACCAAGAATATATCATTAATTATGTAACTGTGCTTTGGAAAATAAAGTATCATAAAACAATTATATTGTAACAATAAATATACATTACATTCGTTACAATGTTCTTGCATATGGCTGATTCTTTTTATTTTCTTTTGGCGACTTTCAATACATGCAAATACACAGAATTTGATATTTGTGTGATAAAAAGAATATGATATCCTTTGTCAATTCACATTTACTTTTATGACAATCGCTAAGAAAAAATGTAATTAAGCTCCCCAGATACCTGCTTTATAATCATTCCATGAATGGTTACACAAAATGACAACTTATGTCAGAAGCTATTTATGCATGTATATATATCAAAGCATGGAGAATATAATCATTCGTTTAAAGTTAAGATTTGTATAGTTTCATCACGAAACCATTCTCATATATTTATGTTAAATTTATCGATAGAATGCACGAATAACTAATTAGCGCTGAAAATTTACTTTGTTCCTTTTCTTTAAAAAAAAATTCAACAACAAAACAACGATAACAAAAGCCAACATGACATGGGTAACTCTTTTACATAAACATTTTACAACTTTTACATAAAATATTTTAAGACATTGGCAGTGTTGACCTATTAAATAGCTTAGTAATTAAACTCACTGTGACAACAATAAATTGGTTATATTTCCTTTAAATAAATGTGAGAAATTTGTATTAAGCAACATTACATAAGGTCTTTCTCGTCAGTTTTGTCATTTGAGGTATTTACCGATGATTTGGTACAAAGAATATGTGTTTCTCTTTAGTCTGATATAAGAGTTATTGAGTTTAACCTTAAATGCAACCTTAACGTGTAAATATAATTTTTCAGTTCGATAAGATACAAAAATATTTAAGTCATATTGCAAAGAAACTTAAGTTTGTCAGTAGAAAACTATTCATCTTATCTAGTGCTCGAATTTGTCTTATTGAAGCTAAAATACTTGTCATATACTATCCATTGTTATAAACGATGAATTCATTAGAATAAAGAATATAAAGGTCTCTCAATCTTTGAGTCGGTGCTAGTGTGCGTGGACGGTTTGTTCATAGCACTGTCGTTAATGAACAGGCACATTTAATCCAAGTACAGTATTTTCATTTGTGACCTGTTCATCGACTTGTAAGGATTCGATTTCATTTACTTTCTTTATTAGAACATTATCTGTAAGAAGACTGGAAGACGAGTTTGCTTTAAGTCATTCCAATAGATGGTAACTGTCATTTTAGCAAGTCATAATTGCTTGGTTGAGGAACATTTAAGTTCAAAAGCGGAACATGAGGTTTGCAAGAAGGAAAGTCCATGAAGTCTGACATTCAAAAAGATAATAATTGTCAGATTAACCTGTCAGGATTGCTTGTTTGAGGATCATATAAGTTCAAAAGCGGACCATAATGTTTGCCATGAAGAAAGTCGATCAAGGAGCTATGGTTTTCCGTTTGATTACCAGGATGGATGATATAGATATATTTGTATCTGAGAATAGTTTATCTATTGTCCAACAGATATCATGAAGGCTAGTGTTATACTATCGATATTTTGTTTTGCATCTTTTGCTTTCTTGTATTCTTGAGTAGAAAACAATAATTGATGTATTATTCTTATTTGTTTTATGTACAGTGCTAATGGAAGTAGCTGGACACGTCGTCTTGAGTTTCCCAATTGATTGAAAATAAGTATCGTTAGAGCCGGCAATGATTCTATTATGCATTAGATGCAACAATTTATCTAGCCGTTGTCACTTTTAGACAAAAATTGTAGATGCTTTGACCACTTATCTGCGTATTGTGTGAATTATTATATGTAAATTATGAAAGTATCCCATAAGAAAAAGGTTTATATGTCTATATCTTCTAATGAAAAGATAGACTGGCTTTTCGGGAATGAGTTTGACAAAGTACGGGTACATAACTGTTGAAAAAAAGAGAATATAATGAAAACATAACGATAGTCGACTTGCGTAAATATTTCACAAGGAAAATGAAACTATATAATATCATCATAAGCACACCACTAATCATAAGTGAAAATTTTGAAATCTTAGACTTTCTGTTTGTTTCAGGTAATTCAAAAAGCCTAAAAAATGGCCATCTTCCAATCTGGATAAATCTATTCATCTTTTAAATGGGAAATGAATAGCGAACAGTCCGGACCCTGGTCGGCTGGTCTTGGTCAGAACCGGTCGCTTGGATAGAATCAGTTGCCACTAGCAGACAAAGGGGCAGGCAATATGACGATTGTTAACTTAGTCAGTTATTGGAACACTGATTCATAGTTATATATATAATAATAATCGAGTTCTCTTCTTGGTCAGAGACAAAACACAATGATTTGTATTTTTTCTGTCTACTACATGGAAAGGGAATAATATAAAAGAATGAAATATTTCTAATCATATAATGTGTCTATATCAACATGTGTGTTTAACTGTTGTTGATTGATTGATTTGGGATTGATTTGAATAATTGATTAATTTGATAAATTTGATGAATGAAAACATAACAGCATGAACGAGCATGGGCAAAATAGAGACAGTAAGCACTAAGCGTTGTAATGCTAAACGAGGGTTACGTATTTATGTTTAAAAAGGTGTGATTTTACGATACATTGCAGTAAGTACGAAGAAAAAAAATCGACTTACTTACTAACTGTATCTAAATTTGAAAAGGTGCAATTTAATGACGTATAACAATGAGTATTATGACAGTTAAAGTCAGAAAGATGTAACAATGTTTGTGTTACAAATGGAGAGCATGGGAACGGATACGCTCGTAGTTATTTGAGAAAATACGATAGCAGATATTACATTAAACAAAAAATATTGCATGACATTGTACAAAATAAATGTTACCGTAAAATAGTGTTAATACTAAAGAGATTAGTTAATATCGCGGAAGCGACGGTTAGATATGGCCATGTCGTATTTTCGCTCCGCGGAGCGCCGGACGAAAACACGATAATGCGACAAATTCGCTACTTTGTCCTATTTCGCCACGCGTGGCAGGCAAAAGAAAGAAAAAGATAAACAATATACATTTTGTATTTATTTCGTTCGTGTTTTCGCATGGCGCCCCGCGGAGTGAAAAATACCACATGGCACAAATCAGCCACCATAGTTAGCTTAGATTGTAGTAATCTATTAGTAGAGCAAATGCTCCCTTTTTAACATATAAACAATTTGTAAATGCATTTGTTGTTGTTGTTATCTTTCATTTTTCGTAATGCATATACTTGTTGAATAGGTATTATTTTATGTGGGAAAAATTATTCATTTAACCGACGAGCTATATTAATATTTATCTGTATTATAAGTCTCTATCGTAAAACGTTATTATAAAATTAAGTTATTGGAGACAATACGGTATAGGAGACAATACAGTTTTAGCACTGGAGATATTACGGTAGTTGATAATCGTTAATAAAAGAACTCTTGATTTAATTTTAAAAAATCAGTTTATTGGTTTAAGAAAACGGCCGTTAATTAGTTCAATGAGTTATATTTAAGATAAACAAATTATGTTATTGAAGAAATACTTCAGTTTCTAACAGAACATAAATATTTAAATGGCTGATATTGGAGAAATAGGGTAGTCAGTAGAAATGTCAGAGTGGATTGATTTTCAGTAAACAAATTGATTAAAACGTATGTCATTTTTATTATTCTTTAAAAAAAAAACTGCACTAAGTTACTTCGACAAAACTGTCCAAAACCTTCACGTTTCAACAGCAAGGATATAAAACGAACAGCTTAAAATGTCAATATTTACCTTGGTAGTTTGTAGATATGCTAGGTAGTTATGTGACACTGTGACATTAAATAGTTTAAATTCATTGTTCAAATGTAACTGCAATGATAACATCCACTACTGAAAATGTACAAATGTTTATTATTAATTCTTTTTTTTTATCTATAAACAAGTCATCATCATAATTATCATCATCATTATCATCATCATTATCATCATCATCATCATCATTAGATCAATCATCACCATCATCACCACAAATATCATCATTATCATAAGCATTATCAGATACATCATCATCATCATCATCATTACAGTCATCATAATATAATCATCATCATATCATCATCATTATCAATATTAATTTCACTATTATCACCACCGTCGTCACAGTCATCATCATCGTTATGATGATGATGATAATTATCATCATCATCATTATCACCATCATCAATATTAATTTCACTAGTATGATCAACTATATCATCACGTTATCATCACAGTTATCATCATCAGCAGCATAATCAGAAGCATCGGGAACAAGAACAACAACAACAATAATAGATAACATTGTAGCAGCAGCAGAAACAGCAGCAGAAGCAACAACAACAACGACGACGACGACGTCGACAAATACACATAAAATTGTGTCCTTTGATTTTCTTTTTATTACAAGTCAGCGCATGAATATTTACATGGCATTTCATTTTAATGGTTTATTTCGACATTAAATGATCACAGGTATTCATCTGTGTAGATATAATGGAATTCACATTCAAATATAATTCCTGTCTCGTACAGCTAAATAAGAGTCATTCTTTATATACCGACTTATTACAATACATAAGAAGACAAAATCTTTTTTATTTCATTTCCATGATTCTGACAATGCTATTAAGTCGATAATACAAATTATGCTTATTTTAAACATATTTTAAGTGTTATATAAATTAAATGATCCAATAACGTACAGAGAAAAAAATGCAGTGAAATATGGTCATTTTTCATACATCACAAGTGCCAAATGGGCACGGGACCTATACCATGAAGCTTCACCATGCATAGAATATTATAATGTAATAAAAAATTATCTGCCTGTAGATCTACTAACTAATATTTATAAAATAAACATAAATGAAAGTATACGGAAAAAACATTGACATACATTGTATAATATGTCCTTTAAAATGCTATTCAAAGGAACGCACCTCCGATATTTAAGATGTCGCACTAATTTTACGCATCATCGACTAATCTAATTGGCTACACCCGATTTCGGCGATGCCCCTTTGATCTACTTTCTTTTTAACTGAAGATGAATATTCATACGCTAGATAATTTGTGTAATTTAGTGTATTGCAGTTCGCTCGTAAATAATCTTCTACAGAATGAAATCCATCATTTATGTACATGACAATCAAAGCTGTTAACTTGCTATATTTTTGATATTTTGGAAATATATAAACTTCTTCAGATTTATTAAGAACTATTTTCTAGAGACAAGTGCCCGCGTACGCAGCTATGTATAGAATATTGGTGTGTAATGCGGCTCCATTGTATTGTCCGCCATTTGAACTGTGTATGGATGTAAATTGTTAAGTGATCGTTAACTTTTACGTGGAATTTTACTCATTTAACCCAATAATATAAAGGTTTGGAATATACTCATACATTCATTAGTCTATTTACTATCACCTATGTGTATAAGTTCGTGACTTTGGGTCTCTGAGAGCGGAGAATCGCGATGGAAAGCGAGCCCAAAGCGCGAGTTCATCACCGGAAAAGACGAGAAAGAGCTCAGAAGTTGCAACTCGATTTGAGTGATTCGGAAGGGGAAAAAATAGGGGATGATCAATCTCCTTTAAGGGGCTCGAAAGAGAGAAGTAGATCGAAGCCCCGGAAGAAAAAGAGTCCGGGGACATATGAGGAAGATTTTATTGATGGATTTGCAATAATCAGTTTCAAGACTAAAGAAGAATTACAGGTATGGTGTACATGCTGTGCCATCTGTGTTGAACTTAATTTCATTAATTATGAATGTTTTAGCTGTGTATCATGTGTAAGGGAATTTAAAAGTGCCTGTTATTGTAAAAGTGTATAAAACCATTAGCATAAACTGATAATTGTGCCCCGAAGTGTAAAATTATTCTTGTCAGTTGCGTTAATAGGGGATAATTGATCAATGAATTGTTTTTTTCATTTTATAAAAGTATATGCAGCAGCCTTGTACATAGGATTAGGAAGCTGTACCATTTGATCAAGTGAAAATAAATAAACATAATTGTCTGTATTATTTGGTAATTTAATTCATGAAATGACATTTAAAGAAAAACAAAACGTTGTTGACGAATGAAAAACGTTATCACGAGATTGTTTCAATTATTTATAATACTGAATTTAATTACTTAAATTAGTATATTAGGTACCAATGTAAGTCTCTGATATAATAGAAAAAAATTCAAGACTGATAATGGTAATTACACCATTTATCTTCAAATAATATATTGATATCTTGATTATTTTAAGTGTGGTCTGACAAGTGACATCTAGGTGTTGTATCCAAGTCTGGTTATCGGTGTTGGTTCTAAGTCATTTAAAGGGGTGATTTATTCCAGTGGCCTAAATCTGTATACCATAACCAATAAGTATTTATCACATACCCGTGCAGATTTTGCGACTTGTAAAAATGGTATTGCGTGGCCGTACACATAATATTTTGACATGACCTCATTCGCGTTTTACAACATACTTACATAGTGTCAAGACGCGCTAAATGTTAGTGTTATAGCATCAATTAGTATTTACAAAAATGATTCTTTTGCACTTAAAATACGGACCCCTTAAAATAGTTTTTTATTGGGGGTGGGGGTATGTATAATAAAGAATAGTATATTCGTGTAGATTCATTACTTATTTATTGAACTAATATTTTGCTTGCCAGAGCCTTGCATGATATAATTTTACTAAACTTGTTCAATAATTTCTGTATTGAACCTTAGTAACACTTGTTCAATATCCTCTATTTCATTATTGCTATTTTCTTAACTTGAAAACCTGGATTACTTTTATCCAATGATAATGTTTGAACTTGAAAACCTTTACTTTTATCCAATGATAATGTTTGAACTTGAAAACCTGGATTACTTTTATCCAATGATAATTTCTGACAATGCCATCAAACATGTTACGAATGTGCCCTTAGTTAGTAAGTTACACTCAGTTTGCACTAACATCAGATTTGCTTTATGGATCAGACTTGCTTGCTTTACGGATTGACACTGTTGTATAGGTGCTGCAACATGTACAATGAGATGTTATGATTGAACTGTCTGGCTTCAAGAACATATGGCCATATGATAGAGTCCAGCTGGAATTGATTTTGGTATGGCAGACTTTTTGAGTAATGAAAATAGGTATATAATCAGCAACAATTAGTGTTATCTTCTTAAATGAACTCTTTTGTTTAAAGTTTGTACATAGCTTGGGAAAAGTGTTAAAATAAAATGCAGGTGTCTACTCCAAGGAAAATATAGGCAGATATTTATTGGTTAACAAATATAAGCAAAAAAATTAATTACTAAATGGCAATGATAATAAAATCCTAGGGATTTTTGATAATCTTTTGGAACTACCTTTAGGATGCGATCTTTTTGTTGGCATTAATATGACATTAAAACAAAAATAACACTAGAGCCTCAATTATTGTGTTGTTATGGTCATTTGGTCACCAATACAATTTCAAGAGTCAGTGCTTCAGTTTTTAAAGTCATGATTGTCTTGTAAAATAAATTATTGCCATTTAGTGCTGGTAATGGTTAATTATATTGAAATGTCAGCTCATATGTTTGTTGATATTTTTAAAAGTTATCTGTGGTTACAAACAAATCCATAATAAAATCTGTGAAAAACAAATCTGATAGTGACAATCTGATCGACCTACCCAGTTACAACACATTTTTTTCAGGCCTACATTGAATATGATAAGCAATGCTGATGTTTCTAAATCAACAGGCCAATTTTCTTTGATTGTCACTAAATAATGTTTACCACAACAACAAAAAAACTTTGTTGTATATAAATCAGGAATTCATGGTATAACATGTACGAAATGATTAAAACAATGCATCCAATTAAATTAAGAAATAAAAAAATATACTGATTTCTATTCACTTGACAGGTTATGGAAAAGTTTGGATCTTATACTTCAAATTTAATGAGATGAAACCATAGGACTGGTGATTTGTGATGTCTGCACCACAATATCTGATATCTGTCATAAACATAATTATTATTGTGATTTGGAAAACCATTCATTAAACTACTGACAGTCTGACAGGTGACACTTGTTGAGAAGTTTTTGTTAAGATGTGGAGACAATGGTGAAATACTGATATAAAATCATTGTTCATTTACATAAATAAGCTACAGTATTAAAAATTTCGTAGGAAAGATTCTGTTTACGTGGAATTCAGCAACATGTTTCCAAGGCTTGATATTTGCTTTTATCATCCACGAAGGCAGTCTGTGAAGGCAGTCTGTTTCGTTATCCTATCAAATAAAGCACTGCGTAATTTTTCTCTTCAATTACTGTAAAAACTATTTTACTGTTAAACAAAGTAAGGTAGATAATGAATGTTATTGTGAGATTGAATCTAAAGGTATTGTCAGAGATTTGATTAACTTCAAAAGCTAGAAACTGAAGAATATCTTAGGAAGATATTCAAGGATCCATTACCTTGCTATATTATATTATAAACATATAAATAGTTCTCAACATTTTACATTATAGTAATAGATCATACTTGTTTGTATTTCATATTAATTTTGTTGTAAAGATAACATAAGATGTTCAATAATATTCCCAGTTTAGAATTCCCCAAATTCGTGAAAGTGTCCTGCAAACCAGCTCAGCTCTTAAGGTGTTTTACAATAGGTCTATTTATGACAAACACTGCTTTATTAACCTTTTGTCTGCTGTTGACAACACTACCCATGCCATCAGTGCAGACCAAGATCATCTGGCAATAGATAGTGATAATTTTGCAGACATGCTCTAAACTGGTTGCTTTTCAGTCAGTAAATATTTTGAAATTTTCCCTAAAAACAGATTGGACAAGTCCATTTAAGATATTTAGTATGGAATGTATTGATATTATCATGTGTGTTATCATCTAAATAATGTGAATATTTTAAAAAGACTTGTTAAATTTTCCCAAAATGACATGGTTGTTGCAATAACTAAGAAGGAATATTTATATCTGTATACTAAGAAATAATCTGATGAAAATAGGATATGGTGATAAAAAAGATCCACAGGAACACTTAGATGTGAATATAAATAATGGATATTTGACGAACCATTAATCTTTTTGGCTTAAAGGCATGGATAAGTTTAAGGAGTAATTCACTGTGTAACAAAACTTAACAGGAAATAGATAATGATGAATCAATTTTAAGTCAAGGTTGATTATACTCTATCCTGTTACATATCTTGAATGGACTTGCCAATCTTTCCATCAGGACAAGACCATTTATCATTATTAGGGAAAAATTCAAAATTGTGTACTGACCGTGACTGAACAGTCGACAGTGTCACTGGTGCATGCCGGTTGACCTTGGTCTGCACTGGTTGCATGTGTAGATTTTGTAGCGGCACTTTTTTTTATTCGGCAGGCAGGCTAATGGTCACTTACTATAAGATGATTCGGTACATTATACTAAGTAATATCTGCCGTGTTAAAGATATAGTTTAATGTTTAATGTATTATTTTACTTCATATCATTATAGGTAGCTAAATTGTATTTATAACTAACCTTCTATAACTATATTTGTAGATCTATTTTATCAGATTAAAGTACAAATTAAATCATATTAAACTAAAGTGTATGATTACGCAAAGGTAAACACAATCAAGGTAAATATGTGGCCATTATCACACTAAATATTACAAAACATTATTGTTTTTGACCCTTTTTTTAAAGGTTTAAGACTTAATTATGGTGACGATATTATTAACCAGTAAAATCATGTTTAGAACAAATATAGTCATTGCGAATTTAGTGTATTGATAGAAAATTAAAGATTAACTTTAAGGGTACATACGCATATTTAACATTCCAATTTGGCTATAGTTAAACAGGCCGAGAAATATCATTGTGTAAAAAGTATAGATAGCGAATTAGAAGAAAGTATTGTACCCATAAAAAGTGAAATATGACCCCGATGTTTGAACCTAATTGTTGCTACATGAAGTGATCCGAACGGGGATATATAGAAGTGAAATAGTTAAAGATTAATCTATTTGTCAAGCAAACACTCTTGGATCCTTTTCCCATCCTCGGCTCCATTGATTTTTGTCGTGCATGCGGAATTACATTTGCATATGGACTCAAAAAAAGCAGAATTGAGAGAGAGATATAATAGAGGGCTGTAACACAATATGGTATCTATAATAAAGAGGGCGAAAATACCGTACAAAGAGCAGTGCGATATAGTTTTCATATGGAGCCTCGGTCTTTAGTACAGCTTTTGTCGGTTATTTGCTAAGATTGTTGAGAAGTCATGTCTGCAAACATAACAAATGTTTGGAAGTTATAATAAAATAAAGACACAGGTCACTTTGTGTTATTGATATTTTACTTTAAGTTTTGAAGTTAACTTGCATTTACTTAAAGGTCTAAATATTATAAATGTTTAAACACTATATTTGATTAGTGAAGCTATATTTAACAATTTGAGCAGTTTCTAGACATAGATCACTTTTATAAATTTTGTATGATAGTTTATATAGTTTTGATCTGTCATTTAACCCAAGCTCTTTCCAAAAATTTGCCTTTTATGCCTTCTGAGGAGATGAATTTCCCAAAAGGACCATTAACCTTAACTTAAGCAGGCTAATGCAGCAACTGAATTTACCCTTGTATCCCGAGTGCAGACCACGCCCAACCGTCTGATCATGGTCTGCACTGTTTATTATTCAGACA